GGCAGAATTAGCTCACAGGCTACTGGGTTTGGCAGAAAGAACAGGGTCTGAGCTGCTGACCCTTTCCCCTGCCTATTCTTTTCAGATTTATCCACAGGAAGAGAGGATGCTGTGGTCCACAGGCAAACGGGGGTGGCAGCTCTGCCCAAGGATCAAGGCTGACTGTGGCTGCCAGCCTGACCTCTGCCTGCCTCTCACCTGACGGGGGCTCAGAAAGCCTGGCTTTCAAACTTAGCCCCACGCCCACGCCTGCTCTGCCACTCCCCACTGATGCTGACCTTGGGCAAGGGAACAGAGCATCACCTGTGTGCCCATGAACCCTAGCACCTAACAATCTGGCTGATCCTTCGCACTACTTCTTTGTTTTCCAACCATTTATACTCATTTTTAAATTTTTTTCCTTCTACTTTTATTCGGTTTGTTCTGTTTTTCTTTTCTTTTTTTTTTTAACCAGACTTCCTGAGCTGAACAATTCAGTTCAGTCGCTCAGTCATGTCTGACTCTTTGCAACCCCATGGACTGCAGCACAGCAGGCTTCCCTGTCCATCACCAATTCCCGGAGCTTGCTCAGACTCATGACCATCGAGTCGGTGATGCTATCCAACCATCTCTTCCTCTGTCATCTCCTTCTCTTCCCGCCTTCAATCTTTCCCAGCATCAGGGTCTTTTCCAATGAGTCACTTCTTCAAATCAGGTGGCCAAAGTATTGGAGTTTCAGCTTCAGCATCAGTCCTTCCAATGAATATTCAGGACTGATTTCCTTTAGGACTGACTGGTTTGATCTCCTTGCAGTCCAAGGAACTCCAAGCGTCAATTCTTTGGTTCTCAGCTTTCTTCGTAGTCCAAACCTCACACCCATACATGACTACTGGAACAACCAGAGCTTTGACTAGACAGATCTTTGTTGTCAAAGTAATGTCTCTGCTTTTTAATATGCTGTCAGGTTGGTCATAGCTTTTCTTCCAAGGAGCAAATGTCTTTTAATTTCAAGGCTGTAGTCACCATCTGCAGTGATTTTGTAGCTCAAGAAAATAAAGTCTCTCACTGTTCCCATTGTTTCCCCATCTACTTGCCATGAAGCGATGGGACCGGATGCAATGATCTTCATTTTTTGAATGCTGAGTTTTAAACCAACTTTTTCACTCTCCTCTTTCACTTTCATCAAGAGGCCCTTTAGTTCCTCTTTGTTTTCTGCCATAAGGGTGGTATCATCTATGTATTTCAGGTTATTGATATTTCTCCCAGCAATCTTAATTCCAGCTTGTGTTTCATCGAGCCCTCCATTTCGCATGAGGTACTCTGCATAGAAGTTAAATAAGCAGGGTGACAACATACAGCCTTGAAGTACTCCTTTCCCAATTTGGAAACAGTTGTTGTTCCATGTCCATTTCTAACTGTTGCTTCTTGACCTGCATACAGGTTTCTTAGGAGGCAGGTCAGGTGGTCTGGTATTCCCATCTCTTGAAGAATTTTCCAGTTTGTTGTGATCCACACAGTCAAAGGCTTTGGTATCACCAATAAAGCAGAAATAGATGTTTTTCTGGAATTCTCCTGCTTTTTCAATAATCCAACGGATGTTGGCAATTTGATCTCTGGTTCCTCTGCCTTTTCTAAATCCAGTTTGAACATCCGGAAGTTAATGGTTCATGTACTACAGAAGCCTCATTTGGAGAATTTTGAGCATTACTTTGCTAGCATGTGAGATAAGTGCAATTGTGCCATAGTTTGAACATTCTTTGGCATTGCCTTTCTTAGGGACTGGAATGAAAACTGACCTTTTCCAATCCTGTGGCCACTGTTGAGTTTTCCAAATTTGCTGGCATATTGAGTGCAGCACTTTCACAGCATCATCTTTTAGGATATGAAACAGCTCAACTGGGATTCCATCACCTCCACTAGCTTTGTTCATAGTGATGCTTCCTAAGGCCCAGCTGACTTCACATTTCACGATGTCTGGCTCTAGGCAAGTGATCACACCATCATGGTTATCTGGATCAGGAAGATTTTTTTTGTATAGTTCTTCTGTGTATTCTTGCCACCTCTTCTTAGTATCTTCTGTTTCTGTTAGGTCCATCCCGTTTCTGTCTTTTATTGTGCCCATCTTTGCATGAAATGTTCCCTTGGTATCTTTAATTTTCTTGAAGCGATCTCTAGCCTTTCCCATTCTATTGCTTTCCTCTATTTCTTTGCATTGATCACTGAGGAAGGCTTTCTTATCTCTCCTTGCTATTCTGTGGAACTCTGCATTCAAATGGGTATATCTTTCCTTTTCTCCTTTGCTTTTTGCTTTTCTTTTCTCAGCTATCTGTAAGGGCTCCTCGGACAACCATTTTGTCTTTTCGCATTTCTTTTTCTTGGGGATGGTCTTGAACACTGCCTCCTGTACAATGTCAAGAACCTCTGTCCATAGTTCTTCAGGCATTCTATCAGATCTAATCCCTTGAATCTATTTGTCACTTCCATTGTATAATTGTAAGGGATTTGATTTAGGTCATACCTGAATGGTCTAGTGGTTTTCCCTACTTTCTTCAATTTAAGTCTGATTTTGGCAATAAGGAGTTTATTTAGAAAGATGGTCTTATATAAAAACTGATTATTCATTGATATGTGTATACATCTCAGGTCATCAAGCAGGTATTGCCATATACCTAATCTAATTTTATAGCATTCTTTGACTGTCATACCTCAAGGTCAGAAATCATTCACTGCCTTTCCCCCAGAAGGCTCCGTGCTCTGTGGTGACCTAAATGAGAAGGAAATCCAAAAAAGAGGGGATATGTGTGTACATATGGCTGATTCACTTTGCTGAACTATAGAAACTAACAACACTGTAAAGCAACTCTATTCCATTAAAAGTTAATTCTTAAGAAAGATACTTTCTTCATTCCCAATATAAGCATTTAAAGCTGCAAATTTCCCTGGAACTGCCATTGTACTTATTAGTTTTGATGCACTATATCATTTTTTCATTCAGTTTTAAACAGCCATCTCTATATTGATTTCTTTATTGACCTACAGGAAAATTAAAAGTGTATTTTAAAATCCAAAAATCCAGCAGTTTGGAGCCTTCTAGGGGAAAGGTAGTGAGTGAATGATGATTTCTGACCTTGAGGTATGACAGTCAAAGAGTGCTGTAAAATTAGATTACGTATATGACAATACCTGCTTGGTGACCTGAGATATATACCTATATCTATGAACAATCAGTTTGTATAAATTTTAAAGTACACCTGAAAATAATGTATGTTCTCTAAATTGGTTGTACAGGTTTTATAATACCACCTTTCTAAACTGTATTTTATAATATCATCACTAATTTTTTCTGCTTTATCTATCAATTCACTGAGAGAAATGTATCAAAATTTATGGTTATAAGTTTGTCAGATTCTCCCTATCAAGTCCATTAACTAGTCCTTCCTATTTGGAGGTTGTGTCTGTTGGAAGTTCACGGATTGACAGTCATTTTTCCTAGTGAATTACTCTCGATTATTATTTCATAGGTGTCTTGATTCCCAGCAATGCATTTGCCTTGTCACTTTTGTCTGATGTTAATGTTGTTAAGCTACTTTCATTTAACATTTTAACACACCTTTCTCTACCTGTTACTTTCTACTCAAGAGGCAGTGGTGGTTCAGACCTCAGCTCTGTCCCTTACGAGCCATGTGACTGCCCAGAGGCAGGGCAACTGGGCACCAAAAACAACACCATATTTGGTATATTCCAATCCACTGCAGCGCAAATCCATTAGTTTATAATGATATGAGAAAAAAAAAAAGGCCATTGGAGCCATCTTTGAAGGATGCTGGTAACTGTCTGGTTACTTTGAAAATTAGCAAATAAAGGGGAAAACACGCATTGTTTTGGCTTCCCTATATGAATTGCACCTCTAGGTAACTAAATAGTTGATGAGAAGTTTCTTTTTAAGGAAGCATTCTGGCTGATAAATGAATTCGTATTCTAGAAGTAGTATAAGAAGTAACCAGGTGTCACCAGAGATGCGGACATACCACCAGTGACAAAGACTCTTTGCCCCATACGAAGAGCAGGCATCTGCTCTTGCATCTAGATCTCACTCCAATTTACAGGAAAAACAGAGATGAGAGGAGCACTGCAGAAGCCACCCCTGAGCCTTGAAGCCAAAGTGCAGGCTCTGGGAGGCTGTAGGGAGCCAGCAGCTCTATGACTTCAACAAATAATTTAAATGAAAAAGCAGGGATGGTAACGTGATGACAATTACAGATAGGAGACTTGAGAGGCACACCTTCCCAACATATGGACCTCAGATCTTGATTTGAACAAATTATTTAATTTTTATGAAGTTATTGGGGAAATGTTAACATTGGCTAGATATTTGCTAATATTAAATCATCATTCTTTTTTGAGTGGGGTAATATTATTGAGTTTATGTTTCTCAAAAAAAAGACTCTAGGGACTTCCCAGGTGGTCCAGTATCTAAGACTCCGTGCTCCCAATGCAGGGGGCCCGGGTTCAATCCCTGGTCAGGGAACTGGGTCCCACAAGCCGCAACTAATAGTTTGCATTGGTCAACTAAAGATCCCACATGCTGCAGAAGAGCCTGGCAGGCTACAGTCCATAGGACTGCAGAGTTGTACACAACTAAAGAGACTTAGCACGCATGCTGCAATGAAGATCAAAGATCCCGCATGCTTCAACTAAATAATAAAAAATGTTTAATGGTTAAAGCTAAAAGGCTTTTTTCAAAAAGACTCTACTTTTTTAGATACACATAAGGGAACATCTAGAGATGAAATTATATGTGTAGGATTTAGTTCAAATAGCCCTGGTTTGGGGAGGGGTCTGAGTGGGATGTCGTTGACAATCATCAGAGCTGATTGGCACAAGCACTGATTATTCATTACACTAGTCACTCAAATTCTGTGCTTGTTTGAAGATTTTCATTTTTCAGCATGTTTTAAATAATAAAACTCACAGACAGAGCTCAGCACTGGGTTCTGTGTGTGCTGGACCCCCAGGCTCACCCGCATCAAAGGAGCCATCCTTCTGGATCTGGGCGAGGATGTGCGACAGGGAGGCAGAGCCGGACTTCCCGGCACCAGCCAGCTCCACGAGCTGCAGCCGTGGCGTGGTCTCGGGCGGGAAGCGGTAGAACTGGAAGGTGAAGTACACAGTCTGTGGCCATGGAGCTGCCTGCTCGTCCTGGGGCACCCTGGATCCAACGACACCCCGAGTCAACCAGGCATCCCAGTGGAGAACCGGGCTTTCATCACACACTCGCGGGGAGACCATGGGCGAAAGGCCACCTCCTCCACCCCCACAGCAGTCACACGGTGACCTCAGGGAGCCCTCTGGGCATCCCTTCTTCAGGCGTAATGGAGAGCCCTGCCCTTGGGGCTACACCAGCACCCCAAGGACTGGGCAACATGCTGTCCATGTTGTAACTAAGGACCATAGGAATCCAGGTAAAGCAGAGTTTATAGCATCTGGAAATGGCTGGGGGTGGGTCCCAGCCAGACTGAAACAAAGACACAGGGCATTCTGTAATTGTTAAGACCTGGTCATAGGTTTCTGCTGGGTCAGAACCACATGGAAGCTTTCCCTCAATGCAAGAAATGCAAAAGCCAGGTAAAGAGTAACAGGTGAAATAATCAAGAATTTACCTGCTAAAGGCAAGAAATTGCAGCACTATCTCATTGCCTTGTAGACAGTCCGATTCTTCCTTCTGAGGGCTGAACTTCACGGGGTCTGTAGGACTCACAGCCTCAGCTGGTTGCTTGTTGGCATCCAGAATCTCAGGAAAGCCAGCAGACTGCAGCAGTGCCAGGGAGGCCCGTGACAGCTTCCCTCCAGAGCTGGAATGGATGGCCCCCTGAGCCAGACTCCAGGAGAAGGCCGACCGAGGGGCAGGACCCGGACAGTCACCTCTCTGGGAAAGCCTGCTGTTCAGGGAGTCACAGGGTCTTGATGCTCAATGCTTGCCTGGGGTCCCTCCCAGACCTGCTCCTCACCTCCTAGTCTGGGTTCCTGCAATGATCGGGGCGTGCACGGGCGTGAAAGGCAGTTCCTGCAAGTGGTCAGCAGCGGACGTTCCCAGGGCCAAGGCCGTCTGGCTCAGGTCAGCCTCCAGGTGAGAGATCCTGCCCTCCAAGGGAAACTCCTGTCAAACACAGTGGGGCCCCAGGTAAGGCCAACAAGGATCCCCACTCGTAACCAAGGAAGCTGGACGGGGGGCTCATGGATGACTCACCCCTGCCACATGGCAAATGAAAACACAGGAGGCTCAGCTGCATTGCAATCTCAGGTAAGTGGTGAATAATTTCAGTACAAGCATGTCCTGGGCAATATCCGGGACATACACTAAAAAGGGATTGTTTATCTGAAATTCTAATTCACCTGGGCATCCTGTATTTTATGTGAGTTGAAAAGCAACAAGGAAGGAACCACTGATTTTATGAACAGGTCAGTAGTCTGGGAGATGCCTGATGCCTGAGAAGACAAATTAACATTAAAACCATGTCCATGGAACAGGAAGATGAAACTGTCTCCAGCAATGCAAGGGAGCCTGTGGGACAGAGCCCTCATATGTACAGACGCTCCCTGTCCCCACATCACCCAATGCTCGAGGCACCCACCTGCATCCACCTTCCACCTCTGTCTAAGTGAAGACACTTAGGATCCAGGATACTCTCTCTGGAGCTGGCTTCCCCAGCTTCTCATTTCATTCAGAAGGAGCCCCAAGTGACTTGGTCGCCAGTAACAGAAGAGATGTGAGATCTTCCTGACTACACGAGCCCAGGGATATTTTGGAATAAGGTATTTCAGCATAAGGATTTTCAGGTAAGTAATTAACTAGAGCCGCTTTTCCTCGACAGGCTTCCAGGGCAAGACTGAAGTTTGCAGGTGAACCAGGAAACTCTATGTGGGTCCCCCCAAGGCCAGTGGAAGGAAACAGGCCTATTTCAGCCCATTAGCTCCAGTGGAATCTGGGGTGCTGAGCTTCATGGACTCCTCCGGCCTCAGACAGGAAGGCGAGCATCCTGGAAGGGGTGCTGGCAGCTTGGGTCGGCCTCTAGTTACATCTCTATGGAAACTTTTCTTTTTCTCTTGTGTTCAGAGGTCTAAGGGCACTTTGTCTTCTCGGGTAGAAGAAAGGCAGAAATCAAGCCCTGTGGCAGGAACACCTCTCAAACCAAACCCTTGGTCACCAAGACAGATGGTGGAAGATATCTGGAACCTGGAAAGGAGGCAATGTCCAGCCCCCATCCCTATGCCTGCTTCACAGGGACCCCATGAAGGTCTCAACCACCTAGCCAAGGGCCAGGGCAGCCAGCCAAGTCAGAGACGTCATCCGAGTCAGGAGTCTGGAGCCATTCTCAGGAAAGAGCCAGGGCGGGGGGAGGGGCAGGCTACTTACCCCTGGGACCAGGGAGGGCGCGGGGCTCCCAGGAGGCCGTGATGAGGGTTTGGCCGAGCGGTGGCGCGGAGCCGGGGACGGTGGGGAAGCCGCCAGCTGGGAAAGTGACAGCTGAAGGGAAGAAAGCTTGGGTAAGATGACAAAGGGCACCGCAGTAACTTCACAGAGCCCCTCCTGCCCCCCCAGCACTGACCCTCCAGGGGAATAGGACTCTAGCTGTGGCCCCAGGAGGCAGCAAGGTCTGGAATCTCCTGGTCACCAGCTGCTCTGGGCCAGGCACTGAGTCTAATTGCTTCTACTCTCATCACCAAGAGCTGCAATTAGGTGATCTCTCCCACACCACAATATTTGAATAAAAATAGTATTAATAAGGAAAAGCAAGTGGAAGGGACACCAGGTTCTCTCCACTCAGGCTGCAGGTCTGGTCTCTGAACTTCTCTGGGTTTTATCCCCATCCCTGGGCTGAACTCCTCCATGACCCCTTCTGATTCTAACCACCTGTGTTCCTATGACATGAACCTGCCCATTATGGGATGACCCTGATGGCAGCTGATGTGGGCCCTGGAATCCCCGCTCCACCACTTGACTGCCACATGACGTGGGCAAGTCACCTAACTCACTGGTTTAGCCTCAGTCTCCTCACCTGTAAAAGGGGGATGCTGACAGCAGCTAAATCACAGGACTGCTGTGGGAAAGGAACTGGCATGTACCCGACATGGAGTCAGCCTTCTGCAGACGGTACACATATGCGGGGAGTGAAGGTCAATGTGAAAGGCTGGTGTGGGGAGGTGAAGAGACCTGACCCTACTGAAGACCCATCTCTCAAATCCTGTTTATAATGCAGTACACGTTACTCATGGGACCTCTGCCATCAGCAGTAACCATCAGCCCAAGGGTAGCAATGGTGGTGGCATGGCAGGTGGTGCTGATACAGAAAGGACCCAGCACATGAAGAGGTGTTGAGGAAACGGGTGGGGGCCCTGGGGGATCTGGGCAGCATTTTGGGGCAGAGAGGAATGTAGGGTCGGCTCAGCTCCCCTGGACCCCAGCAGCCATCCTGAGGCTCTCCGGCTGCTGGGGGCAGACGGTGCTGTTCTGTGGCCCCCAGCACTCAGAAGCACCATGCCAAACACTGCAGGGGATACGGGGACAGGACAGCAGGAGCCGGGAGGCTGCCCCGACCATGCCTTCAGGCAAATGCAACATCCACTCTGATCCAGTTTCCAAGCTGCATGGTGCTCGTTAAAGCCCTGTCCTGGGCCAGCCTCGGATACTGAACAATTCGACTTTTCTAGAAAGTCAATGTCCAGGATGGTGCTGGCAGACAAGGTCATCAGGAAGACAAACCAGCTCTGACCTCATTCAAACCACGTGGCCAGAGCCAGCCCAGAGCTACGGGCAGACCCACAGCCAGCTCAGGATCCCCGAAGGGTGGCTGCACACTCCTAGACCAGAGGAGGTATCTGCTCTCTGACAGGCCTGCAGGTCAAGGTCCTGTCCCCACCAGCACGAGCTGCTCAGGGTACCTGCCTGGCTGCTGCCCAGGGACACTGCAGCTCAGCCAGTGCCCTCTCCTAGCAGAGAGGTCAGGAGGGCACACCCCAGGGTCTCAGAAGAAAAACCAAGGCTGACCAGTCCTAAACGATCATCAGCCACCAAACGTAATTGCCAGGGAGAACCATTCTGAGTGTGGAAACAGGCCTTCAATGGCAACCAGAGGATGGTTAACAACCACCGCAGCCACTGCCCCGAGAGCCGGCTCTGGGACCCGCTGCAGAAACAGGCAGGAGGACGGCTGAGGACACCCCGGTTGCTGTCCCTGGGGGCCCATCCCCTCAGGCTCGCCGGGATCCTTCCCACCCACACACATAAACAGGATATCAAGTGTTCTTAAAGACGCCAAGAGGACTTTGCTGCACCCAGAACCTTTAAATACGTGATTTTAGAATTCTGAAGCAGGCCTCTCAGGCCTGGACTTACCCCTGGTCCCATGGGTGAGTCCTGGGGAGCGATGAGCCCCTGGGGCAGTGATGCTGGTGGGTCTGCGAGGAAGCACAGGGGGACGGGGAAGGGACACCAAGAGCCCGGCTCAGTCAGTCTGGGTGCGCATCTCCCCCGACCCCACCCAAGCTGTAACCAGTGCTACAGCCGGGCAGTGGCCACCCCACAGTCTCCCCGCTTGGTGGGCAGACCAGCGCATGCATCTGGGGTCACTGCCTGCAGGAAGGAACCCGAGCTCACTCCCCACTTCCACAGCCTCCTTCTCCTGCTCCTGTGGGCACTCTGCCTGTGCTCAGGAAGATGCAAGGCTCTTGGAAGGCTCACCCTTCCTTTCACCCTCTCACACACCCCTGCCTTCGGTGGGCCGGGCTCTGACATCTGTCCAGACTGGGACTTCCCCAGCTGTGGCCCACTGGCTGTTTAGTTAAATAAGAAACTTCTACGCAGACATGCATACATGGCAAATGCCACAGCTGGGGGTTCTGCTCTCGCATCACTCACGGCCCGTCCCCCAAGGCTCACTCACTCTAGGGGTGCGAGTGCAGTACCAGGAAGAATCCAGGCCAGTCCTCCTCAGGGCCCTCAGGGCGAGGGTGCCCCTGGGTGACGCCAGGCTGGTCCCTGCAGTGCCCAAGATGCCCACCTGCGGAGGGAGCAGCCGCCCCCACAGTACCATCCCTACCCGCAGAGCTCAGTCCCACGCGGTGGTCCAGGGCAGGGCCGGGCTGGGTTTGCCTGTGCTGCTTCCACCCCCATCCTGGGCCCTGAACTCCAGCCCAGAAGCCCAGGCATCGCTCGAGTCCCAGAAAACCCCAGCCTCTCGGCACTGAGCTCCTGTGTTTGGGGCCACCGCCACCTCACCATCACCCCGCCCACACCACGTCTGTCCTGCCTTCACCTGCCAGTACCACCACCTCCAGCCCGCCTGACCCAGGCCCACAGTGACAGGGTACTCCTCACCCACCCGAAGGCCCAGGTGTGACCGGACACCTGTCTGAGGTGACCTGCCTGGTTCCCCCGAGGACCACACCTGCCTCATGCACCAGAATCCCCTACACGGGGACCTGACTGGACACTGCATGTGAACACCACCCCCTCTTGAACTTCAGGATATCCTGGGACATCACGGCCCTCCCTGAGGCAGCCAGCCCTGCTCCACGTGGCCCTGAGGACCTAACTTTAGCCCGTCCTTCTTCCCCTGGAGTCTCTGCTGCCCACGCCCCTGCACAAGAGACCATCAGAATGGCTCACATGCTCCTGCAAATGGAAGCCCTGAAATAAAAGCTGGTCCATCTGCGTGTGGAGCCCGGAAGCAATTAAAAAGTGGGAGGCTGACGGGTGCATCGTGCAGTGGGCCTTGCCCAGATAAAGGCTTTGCCAGGCACACTGGGCAGCTCAGGCCCGCGCAGTCTCAGGAAGGGCTGAGTCAGCGATTTCACACCACCCGCGCCAGTCACCATAGGGTCGGCCACGCCGTGCAGGAGACAGAGAACCTCACACTTGCAGCTGCAGCCGCTGAGCCCATCTGAAGATGAATTTCCTGACAACCAATTACTTCCCCATCAGCCTCCACTCACTGAAAAGTGCTGTCGACAGAAGCTAAGGTGTCTAGTCCTCTCTCGGCTCAGCTTCTAGAAGCCCAAACGATCTACACCTGACTGAAAAGGCCATGAAGGGGCTTGCAGCCTGCCCGGAACCTGGGCTGTCCGCATCCCACAGGGTCGCATAACTGCACTGAGCACTTCTCTGCACTGGGCCCGGGGTGGGTGTGCAGACAATATGCAGGTCTGAAGCCTACCCACACTCCAGGGCGAGGGGGACTACTTTTCGGGTCAGCCCTTCTTGTGAGTCGAGTGGGTGGGCAAGCATCACAGAGAGACAGAGAGTAAGTGCACAGACACATTGAGTGCTCAGGCCCTAGGCTTGGCAACATCCTCCAGGCTGGAGAGTGCAGAGGCCTCACCAATGTCTTCCCTGAAAAGGCTGGGGTGGGAGGGTCCCCATGCACAGCTACCAGCCAGGAGCCAGCCCTGCGTGAGAGACAGCATGAACGCCCTTTGCCCCACGTTACGAGCTGCCTTCCAGAGAGCACTTTTGCATGAACATACCTGTGTATTTGGCTGGGGGTTGGGGGAGGGTTCTGGGGAAAAGATAATCAGCTGGCAGGGCCTGATGAAGGGGGTTTGTGGAGGAAAACGCTGCCCTGCAGACAGACCTACTCGTGCTTAACCTAAGGGAGAGGGGGTTGCTGCTTAGCAACCATGGAAACTGAGGGCCAGGCCCCGGACCAGGAGGGTGGGAGTCTGGGGGTGTTCCAGCATGGGGCCAAACAGCTGGCTCCAAGGGCAAGGGGATGGAAGGGGTCATCACAGCCAAGACACAATCGCCATAATTCAAATGAAAATTCTGAAAAATAGCTTTCCCCATCAGACCTTGAAAATAAAGGATTAGTGAGTGTTTCATGGTACCTGGGACACTAAGAATTTACAAGGCAGATCCATTTGAAAGGCCTTTATTCTTAATTATTTGGCCTTTGAAAGCCATTCTCTTGAAGACTTTGATCACAGAAATGGAGGAAGTAAGTAAAGTCTAGAAAGACATAACGAGATGCTGGTTGATATAGCAGGCATGGTCTCTGTGCTGAAGGAATCCAGACCTCAGGAGGCTGAGAAACGGAAGTGCCCCACCTAGTTAATCAGGCCCTAGAGCGGTGAGGAGTGCCAGAAGTGCCCAGAGCCCTAGACTGAGCCACCTTCAAGGCCCAGGCTCAGAAGCCTGGGCTCTGAGCTCCTCACTGATGGTCTCCTACAGAACGCACCCTCAGAGAGCCAGCACTGACTTCCATCCCCTGGGTGACATCTTTTGCTCTCCCCACCACTGCCTCATCTTTGGATGACACGTACCAGGGCACAGAGAGGATGCCCCCGAGGGTGTCGCCAGCACAAAAGTCAAGAATCTAATGCCTTATTACTCTGGGAAACACCATGATTACATATTGTCAACGACCCCTTCTGTTTTCATATCTATTAAGCAAATGCACCAAAATTCCGACACCACCGGAACATTAGAAAGCAAAATGTGGGTCAGGGAGATGCTGAGTTCCAAAAACTGGAGATGGAGGGCCCTCTAGCGGCCCCATGCACACCCTCTCGTGCAGGGTGATGAATGGACCTTTGCTCCCTGGTAATTTTGCAGAAAGAATAAAAAGGACAATTCATAACAGGAAGCCAAAGCACCTCACTTAAAGTGACAGCCGCATATCATTAAGATTTCCAGAGGAACCATATAAGTTGGTAAAATATTGAAGCAGGAGAAGTTTCCATCATCAGTTAAACACCAGCAGATATTTGTGTCTCCTGTATTAGATCTTAGGAAGCAGTGTTTTCAAATGCTTGGAACCTGGGGTGAAGGCGAGCACATTAATGCGACGTGAATGCGGCGATAAATCCAAATTAAATAAACCAAATGTCCCATCCGTGCAGATCTGCTGGTCCCCAAACGAGAGCTGAAAGGCAGACGACGCTTCCACGGACCACCTGCACCAGAACTCAATTCCTGAGCTCCCAGCAGCACAAGCATCCCCTCCTGTGTGCTGAGAACACAGCAATAAATCTCTGGGGAAAGAACTAAGGGGTGTGCACCCAGCACCTCTGAATCCCAGGAACTCACGCTGCGACTCAGTGAGCTCCACACATGGGAGTAACACCCTCGGCCCATCAGCCAGAAAGAGGCTCAGATCATCTTGAGCCCATAACTAGCTGCCTTGTGGGGAAGCCCTTCCTGGGGGGTGGGGAGGTGTCCCCTGCCCCTTGAACTGCCACAGCACTCCCTGGAGCCCATGCCCTGCTCTGTGCCCAGCAGACCCTCTGCAGGTCAAGGTGGTGAGCTTCCAGAGGACAGGCCAGGTCCCACGGGCAGGAACTCTATTCAGTCGAAGACGGGGAAATGCAGGAAAACATGGTTACAGCTGGGAGGCAACCTTGTGGTAGAGGCAGCTGAGCGCAGGGAAAGACACGGGACATGAAACCAGGCCCCTGATCCATCGGGTGGCCACCTGAAAATACCCTCTCTTTGAGAGCAGGACCGAGAGATGGTTTCCCTTTGGGGATCGCCCTCCCAGCCCTTAACCCTGGGGTCAGTGGGGCTGGAAGTCTCAGCCATCCAGACAGAGTGTGTGACCCAGGACAGATGCTCCCTGCCCACATCCCAGTCATTCAGGGTAAAGACAGGGGATGCAGCAGAGGGCGGGACTCCGGCTCGGGACTTTGACTGGACAACTGGACAACAGAAGTTCTTCATGCTGGGATTCCTAAGCCCGAGGATGACAGAGAAGCTCCCAGAGCCACCCTGTAAGGAAACCCTGCCAGGAAGGAAGCCGACGGGGAGAGCTAGAGGGCAGATGGATGGGGTGCGGGAGACAGACAGACACACCAAGTCGTTACCACATCACTCAAGTGCCAGGATAGAGCCAAGACTCACACACTCAACAACAGCCATCCCTCCCTACACTGTATGTATATCCCATTGGTTCTGCTTCTCTAGGGAACCCTGACTAAACGCTCATTTTACCCACCTTGTTGCTGCTGTTCAATCACTAGGTCGTGTCCGACTTTTTACGACCCCATGGTCTGCAACATCCCAGGCTTCCCTATCCTTCACTACTTCTTGGAGTTTGCCCAGATTGGCCCACTGGTCAAATCTGACCCACAGTCTGTGCTTATAAATAAAGCTTTATTAGAACACAACCATGCTCATTCATTTACACACCCTCAACGGCTTTCACCAGCAGAGATGACTAGCCATGACAGAGGTCATCTGGCCCACAAAGCCTAAAATATCTCCTCAGTTCAGTTCATTCAGTCACTCAGTCATGTCCAACTCTACGACTCCATGAATCACAGCATGCCAGGCCTCCCTGCCCAACACCAACTTCCACAGTTTACTCAAACTCAAGTTCATCAAGTCGGTGACGCCATCCAGTCATCTCATCCTCTGTCGTCCCCTTCTCCTCCTGCCGCCAATCCTTCCCAGCATCAGGGTC